CAGTGACGTCATCAGCCCCCTCAGCAGGTGGGGTCCCAACTGCAAGGTGCTGGGCTTCAGCTGGAGTCTCAGCGCCACCATCAAGCCCCCCTTTGGCAGGTGGTGTTCCCACCGCAGGGTGCGGAGTCTCAGGTGGTGTGTCACTGCAACCGTCAACTCCCCCTAGGGTAAGTGGTTTTCCCACCACAGGGTGAAGTGATCCTGCTGCAGAGACAACGTAGACACTGTGGATGCCACTGACCTTAGAGGTACTAGATCGACTGGTCAGTCTGGTGGCGCTGTTGTAGTTAACAACACCTAAAGAGGGAATGAGGTCCTCAAGAGGCACCATGGGCGTCGGTTGAGTCAACCGAGTTCGGAGTGTCCAATCACCGAATGAAATGAAAGCCTTAAAATGTCAGAGCAGGTCCTCCCCTTACAGGAAAGGAAAAGCCTCGAGGTCAGCCACAAACATTAGATGGCTCACGGACATGTCGCCCACTGAGATGTGATCCATGAACACCACATTCGACAAGGTTATTTGGCCTGAAGAGTAAGGACAGATGTCCACGGCGCAGGGCGTGAGCTTTAGGACACGACCCTGTCCAGCTGCAGCCAAGCGGACATGCTCCCAAAGAAAACTGGACATGATGGTGAAGTCTGAACCAGAGTCCAAGATAACCTCACAGTCAAGCGCCGCCTTCAGGGTCACCGGAATGTGAGGTTTCTCATTAGGACCCTCACGGACGATATCGCAAAGAAACCGTAGCAGAAGTCTGACCGGTGAGCCAGGCTCACCTGGTTTGGTGGCAGGTGCTTTGGATGCTAGAGGACCAGCGCTGATGGAAGAGATCACACCAGACCTCGCCGAGGTCACAGATGTCATTGGACGCCCTGATGGATCTTTCATCAGGGCACAAAGTGCAGAACTCATTGCGGTGCAAACTGCCCCAGAAGACACATCCCTAGAATCAGATCTCGACCTTGGGGCAGGATTGGAGTCCCTGCGACCACGACATGGTGAGTACAGGTCAGAGGGAGATCGGTGCTCGCCTGAGCGAGACGACTCTCCCCTAGAGTAGTATGATGAATCCCCCTTTTCTCTAAAAGAAACACGTCTGTCACGACCAAATCGTGGTGACTTAGGGCCCCCCTCACCAGCCGGTGGGGGGCTCTGAGCTCTGGCAAAACTCTGAGACCTGTTAGTAGGAAAGCCTCGCCACTTGAAGTTGTTATAGGGCTTCTGTACCTGTGATTTAGCACCAGGTCTGAGGTTATTACCTTTTCGAGTCCCTGATGTAGTCCCTTCGAGTCGCAGCGTGGAGGAGTCTGCCCCCACCGCCAGAACCAAAGGGGTGTCCTACACTTATTTGCTTCTTTGAACCGCCTGAAGCTATAACTTGCAATTTTCCTGAGTTTGTCCATAGAGTTGACTTCCAGGTCTACCGCACCCATATAGGGGCCGTACCGAGGATGCATATTATCAAGGAAAAGCTCTTTAAAACCTTTTTCATCTTCCATCCCCTTCTTAAATTCTGAACCAAAGTATGCGTCAAAGAGGCATAGGTAGAAAGCTTGTGGGTTTTCAGAACAACCTTGTTTGACTTACAAAGCTAACTTTAAACCAGCTTCTTTAGCATCGTAAGTATATTTGCTTTGAATTGCAGCTTCCAGCCAGGTGTAATCATTCGCAATTGCATCTTGCTGGCGGTCAATGAATGAACCCACGACATCGGAGGTTAACCTTAACAGAAAGATCTTGTCCTCGAGAGTCACTCCAGGACATCTCTGAAAATGGTGGTGAAGGTCACTAAGATACGTATCAACTGGGTATGAATTACCTGGTCGAGGATTGAATCTCTTGATGCTACGAGACATCCTATAGATGTCAGCCGTGGTCACAGGTGAGTGTGGTTAAGCTGGCTGGAAAGCTGGCGCGAACATCGCAGCAGCAGGTGGGTATTGTTGTGCAGCAGATAGGTATTGTTGAGCTGGCTGGGGAGCTGCTAGCATCACCGCAGCAGCACCGGCAGGTGCAACAGGTGGGTATAGTGTGGCTGGAGGCCCCAGTGGGTGTGGTTGAGTCGGCTGGAGAGCTGGTACAGTGGGGCAAAAAAGTATTTAGTCAGCCACCAATTGTGCAAGTTCTCCCACTTAAAATGATGACAGAGGTCAGTAATTTTCATCATAGGTGCACTTCAACTGTGAGAGACAGAATGTGAAAAAAAATCCATGAATTCACATGGCAGGATTTTTAAAGAACTTATTTGTAAATCAGGGTGGAAAATAAGTATTTGGTCAATAACAAAAATTCAACTCAATACTTTGTAATATAACCTTTGTTGGCAATAACAGAGGTCAAACGATTACTATAGGTCTTTACCAGGTTTGCACACACAGTAGCTGGTATTTTGGCCCATTCCTCCATGCAGATCTTCTCAAGAGCAGTGATGTTTTGGGGCTGTCGCCGAGCAACACGGACTTTCAACTCCCTCCACAGATTTTCTATGGGGTTGAGGTCTGGAGACTGGCTAGACCACTCCAGGACTTTCAAATGCTTCTTACGGAGCCACTCCTTTGTTGCCCGGGCGGTGTGTTTGGGATCATTGTCGTGTTGGAAGACCCAGCCACGTTTCATCTTCAAAGCTCTCAGTGATGGAAGGAGGTTTTGGCTCTGAATCTCACGATACATGGCCCCATTCATTCTGTCCTTAACACGGATCAGTCGTCCTGTCCCCTTAGCAGAAAAACAGCCCCAAAGCATGATGTTCCCACCCCCATGCTTCACAGTAGGTATGGTGTTCTTGGGATGCAACTCAGTATTCTTCTTCCTCCAAACACGACGAGTTGAGCTTATACCAAAAAGTTCTACTTTGGTTTCATCTGACCACATGACATTTTCCCAATCCTCTGCTGTATCATCCATGTGCTCTCTGGCAAACTTCAGACGGGCCTGGACATGCACTGGCTTCAGCAGCGAAACACGTCTGGCACTGCAGGATTTGATTCCCTGCCGTTGTAGTGTGTTACTGATGGTGACCTTTGTTACTGTGGTCCCAGCTCTGCAGGCCATTCACCAGGTCCCCCGTGTGGTTCTGGGATTCTTGCTCACCGTTCTCATGATCATTTTGATCCCACGGGATGAGATCTTGCGTGGAGCCCCAGATCGAGGGAGATTATCAGTGGTCTTGTATGTCTTCCATTTTCTGATAATTGCTCCCACAGTTGATTTTTTCACACCAAGCTGCTTGCCAATTGTAGATTCACTCTTCCCAGTCTGGTGCAGGTCTACAATTCTTTTCCTGGTGTCCTTCGAAAGCTCTTTGGTCTTGGCCATAGTGGAGTTTGGAGTATGACTGTTTGAGGCTGTGGACAGGTGTCTTTTATACAGATAATGAGTTCAAACAGGTGCCATTAATACAGGCAACGAGTGGAGGACAGAAAAGCTTCTTAAAGAAGACGTTACAGGTCTGTGAGAGCCAGAGATTTTCCTTGTTTGAAGTGACCAAATACTTATTTTCCACCCTGATTTACAAATAAACTCTTTAAAAATCCTGCCATGTGATTTCATGGATTTTATTTCACATTCTGTCTCTCACAGTTGAAGTGTACCTATGATGTAAATTACTGACCTGTCATAATTTTAAGTGGGAGAACTTGCACAGTCGGTGGCTTACTAAATACTTGTTTGCCCCACTGTATAACCACATCAGCAGGTGGGGGCAGTGGGGCTGGAGGAGCAGGTAGAGCCACAGGTGGAGCCGGGAGGGTTGAAGGGGTCCCCCTTCTTTCTCCAATGAGCTCAGAAATCTGTTCTTTTAAATCAGCAATTTCAATATCCCGGGCTCGCACGTCATTTCTGGTTTAGAACATTTTTCTCATCCTCCAAAACAGCAACTTGACTTTCTGCTCTGTTTTTCTTATCCAACAACACTGAATTCTCATCATCTGCTTTATTCAGCTCTTTCCAGCAAGACTCCAGCAAGACCACTCCACAAAGAAAGGGGCCAAAAAAAGTCCTGTGACCGGTGCTGTCCAGCAGGGCCGTGCAGAGACCTTTGACGGGGCGGGTGCTCAAAGTAAAAAAAAAGGGGCACTTGTAGAGCAATCCAACAAGATAGAAAATTCAGATAATGAGACCCTTGGGTTCAAACAACCTAATAAAAATATATCAATTAGTGTCATTATGTTAATGTTAGTTCATAAATAATAGTTTTAGTTTATAAAGCTGACTTATATCTAGAGATGTTACAACCACATTTTTGCCCCTGATCCGAGTCCAAGTTGTTTGATTTTTGATTATCTTCCAATACTGAGTCCTGTTCTGATACCAGGTGGTGATGCAACGCATTATAAAAGAAGAAAGAAGTCATCCTTCTGTCTGTATTTGTCATTTTGTTATTTTATCCTGAAAAGGTCCCTCATTCAGGAAGTACATTTAAGATTCAAGATAATTTATTGCTATTGCACAGGTGTACAACCAAATATAGTTTGCGTCTACTAAAGACAGCTCTAGTAAGAGGTAGTAAAATAAATGCAACCACAGAGAGTTATCCATTGTGATGGATAACTTTCTGGTGCTGCAGGACTTTCACTGGCTCCCTGAGGCTTTCTTCACAACTAAAAGTTAACCTTCATTTATTTTTGTCAAAGTGAGACTTTGCAACAAATTATAATTATTCTGAGCACCTTTTAATACAGTCCAGAGTTTGTACAAACTCCTATTATTAACACATAATGACAATTGACATTTGTGTTAGTCTTAAAACATTTGGCCACTGTTAGGATGAGTTACAGAGGTGTTGAGAAAGAAGCAGCAACACTGCAAATACCGACCCCTCACATAAATGTCCCGTAATGTTAAAGTATTGTAATTATTCTTCAGTAACCATAGAAACAGCTAAAATCTAAAAACATTGACGCACAAAAAATACCTCTCTCTAAATAAAAGCCATGGTTGTTTATCACATCAGGAGTAATGTTCATTGGAAATAAGTGATGTGTCTGATCTTGTCCACTAGATGGTAGCAGAGTGTGAAGAATTCTCTCAGTGGAGCTCAAAGCAGAGGGCTGAACTGTTGATCCTGATGAGGGATCTTACAGAATCGCTGCACAACAACCAGCTGAAAGGTGGGAGGAGGAGACCAGTAGGACTGACTTTACTGTAAAACTTTACTTTACTTAGCTCCGTTCGTAGGACTCACTACCAAACTGATTCTCTCCAATTTACACTAAAGTATTAATTACTTTAATAGTCATAAGACCATGACAGAACAGTGACAAAACAGTGAAACCAGTACAACAATGTACAACCCTTTTATGCAACAGGCAATCACCCAAACCAGAAGTAGGACAAGACAGAAATAATGCTAAACAAAACAGTGAAACCAGCACAGAGAACTAAACTAATATAATGAATAACAGAAGAAATCCTGACCAAAACCAGAAAACTAATAGTGAAAAGTTACCGGAGCCTCAAAAGGAACTCCGGCTATGAGGACGTGTATGCCCTAATAAGTCACAAGTTTTCTGTTGTACCAAACTATGTTGTTAGAAACACACAAAACATTGTTGTTTATTTATAAGTCTATAATATTTAGTATACCTGTGCACTACTCATGATGTCAGATCAGCATCTTGATGTAGCACACCTGTGAGGTGGGATGGATTATCTCAGCAAAGCACAGGTGCTCACTATCACACATTTAGACTGATTTGTGAACTATGTTTGAGAGAAATGGTATTATTGTGTATCTGGAATGAATTTTAGATCTTTAAGTCCTGAATTTTAGATCTTTAAGTCCATCTCATGAAAAATCGGAGCAGAAACAAAGGTGTTGCGTTTATATTTTAGTTGAGTGTAGTTCATAGTTCTTTTTTCTCATATATATATATATATATATATATATATAGTTATATATATATATATATATATAGTTTTATATATAGTTTTATATATATATATATATATATATATAACTTATTAAATAATTTTCCAATAGTTGGCACCTGTTCAGTCCACACTCATACCCAGCTGCAGTTTTTACCCTACAGTATATTCTCAATAACGTGAGGAAAACATTATTTTAATGGGAGATTATTAAACAATCTTAGGAAGCAGGCTGAGGTAGCAAACTCAAAGTGCAATATTAAAAGTGCAAAACATTAGAAAATGTATAATCTTTCAGTTAAGTCCCTTTTCAATTTTTTCTGAATGAACTTTTGACTCCTGTACACAGCATAGACGTAGAAGAGTAGACGCTGCACCAACCGCTACTGCCTTTGTTTGGCCACAGTTGCGGGTTTTACTTTTTATGAACTCTATGGTTAACAGGATGTTTTAGCTACATAGGTTTTAGCTCCGGAAAAGCTCCGTGGAGATCTGGAGCTAGAACTCAGCTCTGAAGTAGCATAAGATGACCCCACTGATTACTTTGCATCCAGAAAATATTTGTGCATCTGCAAAAGTCTCCTGCTCTTGCTGACAGAGGCTCGTCATATGACCTGTGTGCCTGCCAAGGTGGAAACCTTCATGATAGTCATTTTTATATGTGAGGGCCTCAGTTTTCCCATTTAAGGTAACAGGGAATTACTAAAACTAGATGTAGGGAAAAAACAGAAACAATGCAAACTAAAGCACTGGTAGTAAAACCAGTACAGAAAACTACAAACTTTCCATGTTTGAAGGGATATCATGCAACTTTTTCATATTTTTATTATTAGTACTTCAAATAAAACTTGTTATAAACAGTCATTTCTTTTGTATCTCTGCCCATAAACCATCATTTGTACGGAAGCACACAGATAAAAAACGAGTTAGCAGTACACATTTATTAAAAAGATGCCTCTTTATTCATTTGCAACTTCCCACATGCACATTTCAGCAGGAAATCTCTCTTCAGCACAGCTTCGGTCCAGTCTGTTGGGACTTAGAAAAAAAATCAAGCTGACGTACCTGGTGCTGCAGCCTGCTTCCTGCATGTTTTAGATCATGAACACAGCTGACCTGTTTAATTTAGTGATGAACTACTCTTGTACTGACCTGTCTGTCTACATATCTAGGCCACCTTTAAGGAGCTACCTGATGATTAAAAGTTTTGGTCTCACATCCACAAATTAGCTCCATAATGTAGAGAATTAAAGTCTTTCAAGGGTCTTTCAAAGAGCTCAAGACGGATTACAGTAAAAAAAACAATATTGGATTCAAGATCATTTAAATAACATGTTTTTAATAAATATTGATTATAATATAGAATGTCAAAGTGCAGAGTGGAGGAAATGCCCACTGGCCAATGCACCGGCTAACGGAGGACTGGTTTGTGCCACTGCAGCCAACAGGACCTTCTGCAAACCCATGTGTAACTCTGTAAGACACACACACACACACACACACACACACACACACACACGCACGCACGCACGCACGCACACACACACACACACACACGTTGGTGTAACGCATGATGAGTCTTATTGGGATTTTTCTGTCACAGGGTCATGATTTTGCCTTCCTGCGGCGGAGTCGCCTCTTTGATGAATGTAGCGAGCAAACGAATTACAAATGGAACAGCCAGTATGGAGGAGGAACCAGACTGGCTGTGTGCAACAGTAAGTTATGAAATTCAACCACAAGCATCGCTGTGAGATCTTACAAAACTCACATTTCATCTCCTCTTCTAGAAGAGTCCATTCAGATTTCAGGAGCAAAGTCTGCGTATTTCCCTAATGACTGCCTCACAACTAGGAGCAGCGACGGAATGCAGAGGAGCATCTTTGGTAATTTCACCAGTGAGCTGAAGGATGCAGGAATTACTGAAGATCCACAGCATCTCTGTCTCATCTGTGGACCAAATTAGAGTCAGTAGTCCGACTGTGTCAAAGGTTTTAGAGCTGTGCCAACTGGTCGATAAAGTATGACTCAGATCAGGCTTTTATTAAGTATGCCTAAACACTTCTAGTCTGCTTTGGGGGGGTTTCTACTCAGACACCACTGCTGTCTTCTCTGTCCAGAACAAAAAATCAAGGAAGGGACTCTTCTATGTTACGCCCCTGGTTCTGACCCACAGCCCATTTTTACTCATTTCACTGATTAGGGAGGCTGTGGTGTTTGAACCAGGCTCAGGTGGTAATGTGGAGTCCACCACCACCACCAGCAGCAGCAGCAGCCAGAAGCATTGATGGAACCATGCTTTCATGTTAGTGACACCAGAATCTGACCCAACCTGAATGTTGCAGCTGAGATCCAGACTCAGCTGACACCTATAAATGGGCCCGAACCCTGTTTTAATGTATGCATTTTACTGTAAAACATGCGTTTAAATTACAAGAAAAAAAATTCTGTAAATAAAACTATATTAGCAGCATTTTCAGCATCTTTCTTTTGCTTTTGCAACAAAAATCTATTATAAACATAACCAGAAGAGAGGAGCAGGCAGCATTAGCTGCAGGATGAACTACTGCCTTCATCTCTTTTTATTAAGACCACGTTCTAAATGAGGTTAACCACTCAGCCAGATGAACGGAGTGGTCTGCTGTTTTATCTGCCCTCCTCTGCAAACACCCGGGTCAAGGTTAGAGAGCCAAAACGAGATTGCAGGATCTCATTAGGCAGTTATTGACATTCCACATCATTCTATTAGGAGTCACTCTAATCAGAGAGAAAATGACCTGCAGAACGACCCCCAACACACCGTCTAATCATCCATTACAGGAGGAACCATCTGCTGGGGGCTTACAAGCTGACGTCTCAGAGCTGCCTCTAGGGGGCGAAGTTTTACCCTTTTTATGGTGCATGTGATTATAAATGAAGAAGTAAACCCTAACATTTCTTGTTTATGATGTCTGCTAAACTTCTCTAAATATCTTCAGTCTTGTTTGCAGCGGTTAAGGTCCGGAAAAACCTCCAGCCAATCAAATCAGCATATTTGTGGTTCTGAAGTAAACAGATTTAAAAAGGCCACATGAATGTCTGGGTGTTCCCGTACTCTCTCGAGACTAGTCCCTCAAACAAAAAGATGAAGATGAGATTAGAAACTCTTGTTATTAGAAAACCAGGCACCGACCCAGCATAACACACCAATACCACTGTTTGGGCACTAGAGGGCAGCAGAAAGCAGTTTATTTAGTTTCACATGTCAAGCTCTGCTACTACAACAATCAGGTTTAACCCAGCAAGAATCATCGTTTTATCTCAATAAATTACAAAACAAAAATATAAAACATCTAAATACAGATCAAAATGGAATATGAGTTTAAAAAAAAGAATAAATATTCAGACATTTTAAAATTAATAGAAATATGATAATTAAATTAAAAATGAAAATACATGCTTTTAAAACAGGATACAAAGCAGCCAGGTGAATGAATTACATTTCTGAATCAATAACACCAGTTTATAAAAATGAAGGTGACCATTATAAAGATAAACCAGAAATCATATATGTTTATATGATATATATATATATATATATATATATATATATATATATATATATATATATATATATATATATATAGAAATCTTGTTTGTGAACATGCAGAATCACATGTGTGTGTCTGCTTTAGCGCTGCTGATTTTCCTGCTGGTTGTTCAATTTCTGGAATGAAAAATAGTGTCCTTCGGTTCAATGCTTCAATGGGTTTTAAACATTTTTCCATAATAATACTTCAACATGAACCTGTGTTAGCTAAGGGGGTTCATTATGCTGGTTGATGAGGTCTCATTTATACAAAATGGTCAGAACCAAAACACCAGTGACTCACCGACTGGAGGAACTCGATCTGTGAGCGCAGTGACCCTCGTTGATGCTCCAGATTTTCGTCTTTAAGCATCTCCAGCTCCTTCCTCAGTCTAGTTTATAAAAATAAGTGAATTAAAACTTTATTTTTTGTTCTCTAAATTTTCAGTTTTATCTCTTCATTTTTCATTTTTTGTAGAATTAACAACTATTAGCAGCATTCAAGTCAGATTCACATCAAAATGACACATCAGACGTTCTTGTGAACATTTCCTCTTCAATTTGAGTTTACTGGTGTGACAGGTTATGATGACCAGTGCCAGACAACTGGAAGAAGCCTCCTAATGGTTATGTGGTTTCAAAGATGAGTTAATACTTTCTGAAAGAGTTACTTTATTCAAGAAAAGACCAACTGTCATCCTTCAGGATTTTATTTTTTGGTGCTGCATTTCAGGCCAATGGACTTGAGAACATCTTGGCATTTCTTGTCCTGTTCACCTTGTTGCTAGTACCTTCTGCTACCTGATTGTCAAAGTGAGTCTTTGGATTAGTTCCACCACCAATCCCACAGAGGTTTGGATTTGCTGTCCATTAGAAATGTCACAAGTCTAACAGACACCTTGAATTTAGTTCTGTTGTTTTACATTACAATAGTCCAACTTTTACTATTATAAAATTCTATGAGTATAGGCTTTACCCTTTAAGCCATGCTAATTGGGTAATCTCTCAGATGAACTGACCTATCCTAAGCTTTTAGTGGATACCTGCTTACTGGGCGGACCTTGGTCCTGTATAAAGCCTAATTTCTGCTTCTCCATCTGCGTTGGTACGGAGACGCGTAATGCCAACATCTGTCATTGCAAAGGTTCTCCAACAGGCTCCCAAGGGTGAACGGAGTCTATCCCACTTTCCTAAACATCCATTGGATGAGATGGAGAGCACAAGCTTGTGATTGGTCAAGACGCCACTTACCTTAAATTTGTCAACAACACCGCCATTCCCCCTTAAAAATAAAAACGGACCCAAAGATGTCCAGCAGCAGACACGGAGTAGCTTGAAGAATACCTCGCGGAAAAACTCAGAAAATATGAAGATTTTATTCACCCGTAACTGAAGTAGTAAAAAGATATGTAGCAAGAGTTTTATTGGTGGACAAATTATGGGAATCATGGTTTTAGAGGTGGTCTCCATCAATGGGTGTATGCTTCTCCCTTGCGGAGCTGACAGAGATGCATAAATTAGGCTTAAGAGGGACTGAGGAGCATAGCTTGACTCCAAAAGCTCAAAGTGAGGCCTTCTGCAAACCAGGTAGGCCTGTGTCCTTACAGGGCTATGCTTATACTCATAGAATCTGGGGTTACAATATGTAACCAACATTCTATTTCTTATAGGCTTTGCCCTTTAAGCCACACCGGCTGGGTTAAAGGCGAAGCAGGACGTAGTTAATGCAGATCTAACCAGCAGCAAAACATCCATTGATCTAACCCAACAAGTCAAATCCCCCTCACACAGCTTCTGGTGGGCATAACAGAGGAGTGAGTAGCTGAGGCGGGGAGTGAGGACAGTCATAAGTAAGGAAGCTGGTGAGGGGCTCCAAGCACAGTGTAGGTGCCAGACATTTCTCCCAGGTAGAACCACACAAAAGAACAAGGCGATGACCAAAACGCAGCCATACAGATGTCCTCCACAGACATCCCTCCTTACAGCGCCATAAAGGAGAAGATCCCTCTGGTGGAGTGAGCTCTCAGCTTTTCCAGTGTAAGGAATACAGTATCACACAGCCAGGATGAGCGGCACTGTAAAAATGGGGTTAAGCCAGGAAAATATCCCTAACTATAGGGGCTCTCACAGGGCTGGTTTGTGCACTAGCACAAACCAGCCCTGTGAGTGGCAGAGATTAGGATTGTGGGAGATGTGACATTTGATTGCATGCACCGGGCACAGCAGATGCGATCCCACCTCCTTGTCAGAGTTATGACGAGGTGAAAAGAATCCATGTAGTGCAATGGTTCTGGACCCAAAAGAGCTGGTGAGGCTGTTTGGTGTGAACGCTGGACTGGAGCACAAAACAGCGGAACTGACATCACCCAAATCCTGAGATAGGATGGAGTCACAGAAAGGGCAGCCAGGTCACTCACTCTCTTAAATGACGTCAGTGCCAACAGCAGGGCGGCTTAAAGGGACAAGAATTTGAAAGAGACCTGGTCCAGTGGTTCTAACGGAGCCTAAGTCAAACAGGACCACAGCCAAGTCCCACTGGGGGACAGCAAGCGGGACACGGGTCTGTCACCGAACGCCCCCTAGACTTAATTCAGTGAGGGAATGGTGGGGATAGGCAGCTGGGCTGTGAGACCGTAATGGTTTGTTGCTCACAGACAGAATGGGCTGCTTCAGGAGGAGAGGTGAGAAGCTGGAAGAGGCGTCTGGGCTGGTGTTTGGAGAGTAGAGGAGCTAGTGCACATCTGTGTAGCCACCAACCTCTGCCTTGGGGAAGCAGAGCCTGGGCCGTTCTCAGGAGGGCAGACGGGCCGCTACACATCCGTGTAGCCAAAAACCGTCCACCTCGGAGCGCTCAAAGAGCTACCATAACCTAAGTAACCGGGAAAAAGGGGTCTCCTGTCATCAGAGAAAAAACTCTGGCCAGCGCAAGCACTCCCATGCCATGAGAGTAGTGAAAAACAGGAGCAGGGTCTCCCCCAGTGCTTTTTAAGTCTGGTGGGCCACCCTTTGTGCACTTCTGCTCACCATCTAAGATGGTACTGGGGTGACTTCACACACATTCTCACTGGGATCTTGTTGCTGATTCGACCATTTTGCGTAGAAGAATGTTAACACTGTTCTCATCAACGGGTCTCAGCTGAAACACAACCGCAGTCTTCATGATGCTAGTGGTAAAGATCGGGACTTGAGTCTGAGGCATGAACTCAAGACACAATTCATTCACAGAAACAGACTGAAGACTTGGGCTAAATGACTTCTGAACCTCTCTGACTGATGTTAGGCAGTAACAGATCGCTGCTCTCACATTCATCCATGACACCCTGTAGGTGTTCATCGAGGTGCACGAGTAGGAAGTACTAGCAGGAGCTAAACTCCACTTCTTGATTTTGGATCAGGGAGAAACAGGATCAGGAAACCCTGATACTGTTATCTCAGCCAATAAATGTATTATTAATGTCGACCTCTGTGTCACATACCTCAGAGAAATGTTGAAGAGGACAGACCTTGTGTTTATGTCAACTTGCTTCTCAATTCAGCATTTTCCACCATAACCAATAAATGAATGCATGCATATAGAATATAAGTCATCTGTACACATCAGAGATCTGTTTTTAAAAACCTGAAAATGAAACCAATGTTGTGCTTCAAACTAAAACAATGGACCCATCCTCTCTTCTTGTGTTTGCTGGACTGAAAACATTTCACACAATAAGTCCTAAACAGATAAAAATTACTGTGATCATTTTTTCTCGGGAGAAACCATTTGATCCACAGTCCATGATGTTCTGGCAGGTGTGTGGAGGATACACACCGAGCTACACACAAAAAACTGTCGAGCTTCTTTTTATTGGAAGTTAATGAAACAATAAAGCAGCCAAACTTAGATTGCATTTCTAACAATCTGAGAACCCGGTGAGGTGTTTAAAACTTTACACGTCTCTGTGGAACTTATAAATCAGATTGTTTTAAAGGTGAGTGTATTCTACTTTATTTTTTGTAAAAAGGATTATAATGTCTCCAGCAGTCAAACACATGCTGACATTCTGGATTTCTCTGGTCTTTGCTGGTTTTTATTACATTTCTGCAGAGCAAAGACATTTCTAAATGAGCTCTCACATTTACTTTAACAGTACAGTTTCCGTGAATAAAATTGCACAATACACCACAACAAATAGAAAAAGCTGGAACCATCAATCTAACCAGGGCAGACAGAATACCTCCATTGTATGACGTGAACAATCTCCAGCAGCAGCCTCCCGTTATGCACGATGAACACTTTTTAAACGACTGTAGCTCTCATTCAAATTGACATCCATTCAATTTCCAACAATCAATAGGCACAGGGTTAAAGATGCGTCTTAAAGAGACACCGGGACGGGATTGATGGTTTGGTTTCAGAATGGATGATCACATAAGGAGGCCCTCCATTCCTAAGATACGTCCTCAGCGCTTCCTGAGGCTAATAAGCCTCCTGCTAACGAAGAAGCAAGCGCTTAACAAGGCTGATGGATGAGCAGAACATACCTCTCACATGACAGATTTACAGCAGCAAGACAGATTAATGCAGACTTGTTTTCATTACTTCACCTTCCAAGATCCTTCCTTGGATCATATTAGATCTGTTCTAAGAAAGAATGAAAGAAAGAAAACAATCTTTTATATAGCGCCTCTCAAGAGAATAATCACGAGGCGCTTCACAAAAACAATTTCTAATATGAAAAGAATAAAAAATGTGTTTAAATTGATTAAAAAAACGTTGTTATTAAAAATGTAAGGAAATTGAAAGAGAAAATGAGTAAGGAAGAGGGAAATCAGTGGATCTCCGTAAAGGCAGAATAGCTAGAAAGAACAGAAGAGGGAAAGGGTGGAGATGAAGGTCACACCAAAGACTGAACAGGTGAGTCTTCAGCTGCTTTTTAAAGGAGACCACTGAGTCCACTGATCTCAGGCTCAGGGGGACAGAGGTCCAGAGTCTGGGGGCCACAGCAGCAAATGATCTGTCACCTTTGGTCTTTAGCCTGGTGCTGCACAACCAGTAGGCTTTGATCACTGGACCTCAGGGACCTGCTGGGGGTGTAGGGACTAAGAAGATCACCAATGTAAGATGGTGCTTGTCCATGTAAGGCCCTATAGACCAGAACCAGGATCTTGAAATGAACCCTGAAGTTGACTGGCAGCCAGTGAAGCTGGAGGAGAAGCGGGGTGATGTGGGTGTATTTGGAGGACTTGGTCAGAAGCCGAGCACAGGCATTCTGAACCACCTGTAGACGGTTCAGGGAGGTTCTGCTCAGACACGTGAAAAGTAGGGATGGGTACCTTTGACATTTGAATCGATTCGGTACTTAACGGTACCAATTTTCGATACTTTTGAGTGTTTATTTGTATTCTCTTTTATAATTAAATATATATTTTCTCAATATATAACCTTATTTGATAAATATCACGATAAATAACATTCAACTGTTTGTATTTTAACATCGTCCTTGTAGTTTTATAAGCTGATAATTAAACTGAAGCAAACATCTTTACTGTGAACTAAATTTACTGTGTATCTTCATTCCTTTAACCGTCTTTTTTCATTTGATTTTTCCTACTGGGAAGTTAGAATTTCCGAAGAGAAAGCGAACGCACCATTAGCTGATAACAATGGTGGCAATGGAAGCTAACATATCAAGCTAACGTTATCTTAAACAGTTTATTTAACTGCTGGAGCAGATTAAAACGATGATGCCTCACACTTAAGGTTGGTTTATGCTTGACGCGTCCGCGAGGTCCGCACGGCTCCGCGCGGAAAAGTTGCGTCATTTTGCATCATTTTAACAACCACGCCCCTCCACCGCGTCTCCGCACGGCCCAAGATTTCCGCAACGCGCACCTCGGAAACCACGCGGACGGTCGGACGCGGAAAAACATGGCGGACCGGCACGGCAGAGTTTCGTAAATACAGACATTTGTATGATTCAGCTCTCAGAGATCACCGTGATCAACATGTTGTTAATAATTCTTGGAGAGAAATAGCTTGCACTGTCGGAAAAGACGAGAACGCTGTTAAAAATGCTGAAATACCATGTTGTAAACAGTGATTTCTACTTCTACTATGGTGTAGTGTTGGATGCATGCTGTAGAGCTCCATGCTGCCCCGTTCAGTTTGGGAGAATATTGGCTCACTGCAGAGACAAGCCGCACAAACCATAAACTCTGCGAGTTGTGAAGCGCGTTCCAGCCGCGAGCCGCATCACCGCGCGGAAAGTGAATGCGTCAAGCATAAACCAAGCTTTAGATCGTTGTCACTGGTTTCATTTTCACCCAATCACCCGTCGCATTTAGTAAAGTGAAGCCAAACTTTAGAGCGCATTCATGTTCTTCTAGTCGGAAATTCGGAGTTCCGAGGAGAAAGCGAACGCACCATTAGTGAAACGGGTTAAATGACTTTATATATATATAGCCATTCCCTGATGTGGGGGCTGGGGGGTGCGTCATCATGGTCGGGACATAGAAGGGGGTGCGCGGCTAAATAAGTTTGGGAACCACTGCACTAGATAAATACAATAAAGTTTATCTCTCACCAAATATAATATTTACGGTACTATGAAATCACAATATAACCATAGAAACACTACTTGGAGTGTGTGTGTGTGTGTGTGTGTGTGTGTGTGTGTGTGTGTGTGTGTGTGTGTGTGTGTGTGTGTGTGTGTGTGTGTGTGTGTGTGTGTGTGTGTGTGTGTGTGTGTGTCTGCTCTGTCTTCTCGATCCCCAGTGAGTCGTGGAGGATGGCTGCTTATACTGAGCCAGGATTCTCTGGAGGTTTCTTCCTGTTAAAAGGGAGTTTTCCTCTCCACTGTCGCTTTATGCTTGCTTAGTATGAGGATTGCATCAAGTCACTGACACTAGTCAGTGACTTGATGCAATTTGCTGGGTTCCTTATATAGGAAACATTTTTCTGATTGGCTTAATGAACTGACCTGATCTGGAATGTTTACTATGTGAAGTGCCTTGAGACGACTCTTGTCGTGATTTGGTGCTGTATAAATAAACTTGAATTGAATTGAAAGTTTAAACACACCTGATTTCAATCAGCAGGTGATTAACATGCTTCTAGAGAGCTTGATGAGCTGCTGCACAGGTGAAGCAGCTGTGTTGGAACAGGGAAACAATAGAAAGATGCAGGATGCTGGCCCTCGAGGACTGGAGTTTGACACCCCCGTGATAAAGCTATGCTGAGTGAGGTAGCGAAATCAGAAACTAAAGAAACAGCTGGAGTTAGTAAATTAGCAGGATTAGATCCACGGTGTTTGTAAAAACCAATTATGGAAGGAACAGGAGGAGAAACCACTGAAGAATGAGGATAGACAGACCTTAAAAAACTTAGAAAAAGAAACCGTGCCACATCGTGACCTGGCGGGAACGTGGAAGTGGCACTGAGGTCGCCAAACAAAGGACAAGAAACTAAAAGATCATGCCAATGTTTACTAGATAAATCACCAGGATTCCTGCTCATTTACCCCTTTTCCTCTGATGCTTTCCTGGTGTTGGATAAACATCGCTGGAGGCGTTCGGGTATGAATCAGCATTTAGCTCCAGGCCAGCGCACTGCTTACGTAAACAAATAGGTAGAATAATCATCGGCGCGTCTTGGGCGATCACAGATGAATGGAAGAACAAAAGAGTCTGGGAATCATAGGAGGTGGTAACCAGGACACCACCGAAGAGGATCACAGACAGAAGCAAGGTGGAAAGAAGTACAGAACCTCCAAGACCACCAGGGCCGGACGCCCCTGATTCAGATCAACACATTTTCATATTGAGAACATGTGACCTGTTTTGGAGCTGTTAAAATCACAAATTTTCCTTTTCTTAATAAAAAAACAAAAACATTTTGGTGGCTTGTGATGACTTCTAATTTGACATTTTGAAAAGTTAAAGAATAAAGTATAAATGAAATTAAAGCCAAAAACAGCCAGTCTCTCTGTGTTTGGTCACTTCAGTATAACAGCTAAGCTCATTCATTCACAAACCTTCTATCAATCACATCAGTCTCAGGTTGTTTTTTTCCTGCTTGTTTACTAATTGAAATACATCACAGAAGCAGATCAAGGCCTTCATTAAGCTAAATCCTCCTAATGCTCTGTTATTTACACGTCCAGATCTGGACCCCAGCCAGGAGCCGGTCCATTCAGCACTTCTCAGTGTGAGTCAGATCCACTCTTTTAAATAACACCTTTTATCAGACGGCTACTGAGATGCATTGTGTTTCCTTCTGCAGTCCTTTCCTAAGTGGCTTTTGAACTGTCAGTGACTGCAGCAGTTGCCGCTACCACTAACGTGGATTTCATCTGTTCGTGTAACAGAACAAGAACTTTACTGCTTCTCTACAGTTAGGACAGAAAGATAATGAACCTCTTCCTGATTAAACATCAAAGCAGCTCAGCAACAAGGTTAGAAACATTCACTGCTAGCTAATGTTCAAGTGTCCTGATTCTCACCTGAGGCAGGTGCTGTCAGTCAGATGTTTGTGACTGGCAGACTGCAGCTCAGACCTCAGAGACTCTGTGGTAGTCCGAGCCTCCTCCAGCTGCTGATCCACAGCTGCAGTCAGGACAAACAAAGGTTTCATTAGAACCTGTCCAGATGTTCATGACAACATTCTAGCAATAAAGAAAATCATTTCACATGAAGACGAGCCATGACCCGTCTCTGGTTGTGTGTGGGCAGTAGAAGGAGGTCAAAGGGCATGACCCTGGATCCTGTTTGACATGATTAGTGTGGACCTAACAACATGGCTCATTTATTAGGACTCAACATGATCGTGGACTTGTTTCTGCTGCAGTCATCTCATTTCAAACCCTAACCCAATTTAAAGAGTCTCTCCTTTGACTTTATACAAACTCGTGTTGAGTAAATGTTCTAAAGGGTTCATCAGACTCCATCCAGATGAGATGTTTCTTTGACTGACACACAGGTGTTCTGGTCCTCTGGGTCATATCTGGGTGATAACCTGAACAAATCATCTCAAAGACACCTCTAACCCGAACCTTCTTAGTGGTGTGGTTAGAGATGCGTGTGAGCTCCTCAGCTCGACCTGACCGAAGCTCGTTGGGCTGACCTTTCTGAGTGTAGTCCACGCCCTGAAGCTCCAGCAGGAGTCTCCTCATCTCCTCATCTGAGGACCTCGTATTGCTGTGGCTGCACCTCATCAGCTCCATCTCTGGGTGAGAAACAAGAAGACAAATGATTTAAAACCAAATGCAGCAAATCTGATCCCCTCTCTTCCAAGAGCTCTGTCTCTTATGACCTTTGTGTAAGGCTTCCACCTCCTGATCCAGCCTCAGGAGGTCAGACTCAAGCTGGTTCTCGGGCCCTGGTGCTCTGCTTCTCTGAAGACTGAAATCACTGTTGAACCTTGAGATCTCTTGACGAAACATTTCCTCCTCTTCTTTAGACGTTTTCCTTATCTTATCCTGGTGTAAAAAGAGGAAAACTGTTCTGTAGTTTTCCACATATAAATACTACCAGTAACTTATGGTAATATCACTGTAGAGCTAGAAGAGCTAAATCTATTCTCCAAAGACCATTAGAATTCTTTTGATGGCGCACGCCACTGTAGAGTTAGAGAAATGCAAATCAACGCTGACTTTGGGTGGTGCAATAATTTTTATTAGGAAAAAGTCCAGTTGGCCTGCCATGGTAAAACTATCCTGGGAAATCTTTGCATGGGGGGGGGGCAAGAATCTGGCAATACGATATTGACCACGATACATGGAAGGCAATACGATACATCATGATTCTAAAAGCCGGACAGTACTTGCAATGTTAAAACGGGCTTTAAGTAGAAAACTCGGACCAGATGCTTTAAAGACACAAAGGCCCTGTCCCAATACTCATGCATCCAGCCTTGCACCCCTCAACTGCGAGTTATGTCCAGGGATGCGAGTCCTTGATCCATACTTCATTGAAGCCTGCATCAGTGCAGACTTCAGCGTGGGAATTTTGAGAAGATGATGGAGAAATGGCTCAAATGCCCTTTCCAAAAATATGAATCTTCTATTATAATTATCTAAATCAGTGGTTCCCAAACTTATTTAGCTGCACATCCCCTTCTATGTCCCGACCATGTTGACACACCCCCCAGCCCCACATCAGGGCATGGCTATATATATATATATATATATATATATATATATATATATATATATATATATATATATATATATATATCAGACGTCATGCTAAACCAGGGGTCGGCAACCTGTTCCCATCAAAGAGACATTATTACCCATTTCCCACAGTAAAGGTACAAGCACAGAGAGCCGCATCAGATGGATGGAAGAGCCGCATGCAGCTCCAGAGCCGCGGGTTGCCGACCCCTGAGCTAGGGCATGTGTGGAGGACACACACACACACACACACACACACACACACACACACACACACACACACACACAAGCAAAATATACTTGTTTTCAATTACATTTATTGGGCCCACTTACTTTTTCTTAGGCCCACCCACAAATGAGTTTCTGGCTACGCTAATGGTGACTTTTGACAGACTTCTCTGAGCTCCGCAGCCATTACACTTTTCACCTCGCGCAGCCCCTAGCGGCAGCTCGCGCGCACCACACTTTGGGAATCCCTGATCTAAATAACAAATATAACATTATAAGGTTTCTCTGTTGGAAAGAAACATCACATGTCTGTAACAATATTTTTAACAGTGCAGCTGTGTGTTTTCATACATGGTATGCCTGTAATTGAATCACTTGTTGTCATTCAGTTCATGTCAAGCAGCAAAACACACACAAAAAAAAAACACCGGCTTCCCCGGTTACGAAGACACAATGCTCACTGTTCCAGTTCTGTACTTATTCACTACGCACTCAGAGTGTTATGTGCACTTCCACCAAGTATACGTCACAGAGGACCGTTGCGGTGGCTGCAGTGTAGGTATTGGGACCATAGACATGAATACATAGATGCCCCTTTGGGTGCTGGAAAGCATAAAAGAGTGTTAGGGTTAGGGTGTCCTCCCGTCCCAAAAGCAGTGCAGAGTGGGAATCTATGCCCGTGTATTTGCAGCCTGTGATTGCAACAACCAGCTTACTATTGAAAACAGATCGCATGGGCTTATTATTGACCTTTCTAGCCTAGCAGAAGGGATTTTATATTTTAATGAATTTTGGTTAATTATATTTGTATTTTAATTATCATGCCATACCATGTGTCTGATTAGTTGGGTAGGCACCTTCCTCAGTAGAAATACATGCACTGGGGGTGAATAGAAACTCATCAAAGATGGCGGCCGGCAACTGTGGCTGCTCCAATCGGCAGTGAGTCCACGGGGCATATATGATATCTGTGATTGGGACTGGGCCATCCAATCTTGGCGCAAGAGCTCACTGTTCCCTCAGAACGAAGGCAGCAAAACCTGCTGCCACCTAGCAGTTGGAGTTTGAATTGCACCACACAAAAGAACTATTAGGGCTGCACGATATTAGGAAAGCCTGCAATATGCGATAACAGTGATTAATATTGCGATAACGATATTACTTGCGAAAAATAAAAACTACTCAGGAACAAAAATAATCAAAAACAAAGACATTTTTAAAATGGCAACAAAAAAATCATAAGACTAAGAACAGCAAAAGATGTGAGGAAAGGGAAAAAGAAAATGAACAAGAAAAGGCAATCAGTGGATCCCGGGTAAAGCAGAATCAGCAGAAAGAGAAGAACAAAGCTAACTCAGGTGTTTGCTAACCATCAAAATTAAGTACTGTCTGCCTCGGGGCCGGGCATCTAACCTATGAGGACCCACCCAATTGGCCAAAAGGATGAAGAGCTCTATTTGATTTGTTAAAAAAAACATTATACTTCAGTTTGACAGAATGCATTATGTGTATCAACCATTTGAGCTGACCATTTAATGCAATATTTATCTGTTCAATGCGCTATGCATATTGCAAATGCTAATATCGTGATAACGATATATTTGCGATATACTGTGCAGCCCTAACTACTATGTATGTTAGCATGTAAATATCCAACAAAAAAAATCAATACGCTGGTTTTAAATATCAATTTAGTATCATGACATGAAATTAGTGCTGTCACTATTAGTCGATTTGCCACGATGACGTCGACAAACAAAATAGTCACCAACAAATTCAATAGTCAACATAATTTACTACAAGTGTTGTTTAATTTTTAATCTGCCTGCTGCGGCACCACTACTGCTTTCTACCGCTCTGCTTCGGGCACACGTGCAGTAGTGACCATCCAGGTGAGCCGAAAACGCAGCTCAAATGTTTGGAAGAATTTTACAAAGACAAAAGAGAAGCACGTAGAGTGCAAAAGCTGCGAAGTAGAACTCTCCTTTCACGGGAGTGTAACAGTGATGCATTAACACGTTAAAAGGAAGCCCGTCGTGGCGGAGAATGAAGCGGGGCGGTCGCCTCTGTAAGCTAATTACATCTCGTTAGCTGGGAGGTACTTGTGTTCATGGCAGTAGCAACAATAGTAGTGATTGCAATTTCATTACCTTTAGCACACCTGGGTCACGTATTTGCTCTGAGGTGACAAACACTAATGGTTTATTGCATCCTGCTACAATGTTAAAAACCCGCTCCTCTTCAGTGGATGAGTTTGTTACAAACCAAACCTTCTGACCGAGGCCATTTTGAATATGTTGGTGACAGATTGAGACCCACGTAACAGATCACACTTCAAACTAGAAGCTAATGATGGGTATGCTAGAGCAGCTGTGTCCTGCTGCATTAAGCTATACTTATGCATGACACGATTAGTCGGATAATCGCCCAAATAACTGAAGATTTGTCGACTATTGAAATAATTGTTTGTAGCAGCCCTACTTGAAACATTACAACATTTTGACATTTCCTTACATCCCTACTCTGCAAGCACATTTCTTGTCAATAAATGCATTTGAAAGCTATTCCTACCTTTTCTTTTCATCCTTTTCTTATTAGGGTAATAGCTGGTAGTGTTTGACTTGTGATGAACGTGTACAAGAAAGCTTGATTTAAAGAAAATCAAGAATCAATTTGAATAGGGATGTAATAAATACATAAATACAGTAAAATATTGTGATATTTCGTGTTATGATACAGAATTAATTTTCATTAGAAGTGAATCGATTTGTCATTGAGAAATTTCATCCAGTCATTTACTGTTTTTCTTTTAAGTGGTGAAATTCAAACCCCGACTGCTAGGGGGCAGCAGCTTTTACTACCTTCAGTCTGACAGAACTAACACTGGATGTGTCTTGGAGGCATCTGGCCTGAGTTTTTCAGTTGAACTCAGTCTTTTATTTAACTTTTAGTATCACAACATATCATATCGTCTCCGCTTATTGCGATATATATATATATATATATATATATATATATATATATATATATATATATATATAAATATATATATATATATATATATATATATATATATATATATATATATATATATATATATATATGTATACTAGGAAGTTTTTGACTGTTCACCAGCAGCTTGAGATGCTGGTGAACAACATGAAAGAGCGTTGGTCCCAAAAACCAGAGAAGTTTCTGTTTAGTTGTGAAAAGAATCTGCAGGAATCTGTGGTGAATTGAAACATGGAGAGCCGTTGTCTGTTTTCTGATGATACCTCAGCACAGGAAATGTGGTTTCTTTCGCTTTCATGGTAAACACTTAAAAGTTATCAACAGGTCGAGTCACATCTGGTCTCCGCTGAAAACAGGTCTGTTTCTAGGCTCAGGGTGGAGAAATGTTGTGATCTGAGATGTAAATTAAAGCTCACTAGATGTTCCCTGAGGTGGTTCTTCTGACAAAGCAGTTCCTCGATTTGTTTCAACATCTGCTCCTCACTTTTCTTCATCAGATCACACTGCAGCCTCATGGTGGACGACTGCTGAGCCTGGAGCACAAACAGACGGCCGGAACGTCGGAAACATGTTCAGACACATTAATGAGAGGACAGATTCACAAAGACTTAATCTGCAGCATCAAGTTTTCACACTCGTTCTAACAGACTCAGACTCAGACTCTTCCTTCCAAAATTTGGCTCAGTCCTTGCTGCTGTGTAATTATACAGTAATATCTTCCTGAAGAAAGAGGAGTACCACGTGATAAGAGAAGGTAAAGTCTGGCCTCAGGTGTTTCTGCTTTAGGATAGCAGAGTTTATTGGTTCCCACGTGGTGGAGGAAGAGCGGAAGGCAAAATGAGCATCTAAGTTCTCTAAACAGTGTAATTAAAGTTCTGAAAAGCAGAAGGCTTCCCACCGCAGAGCTGTAAACGCACAATGGCGTAAACACAACATGTATATCTGAGAGATGTAAACAATATCAATATTCCTTCCTCGGGAGGAGCAGGGAGCCTCCCGCTGGCTGTTTTAGTGCAGATAATGCAGAGGCTGATGGTGTTTCTGAAGATTCAGCAGCTTGTTTTAATTAAAGCCAGCATTCGGCTCTTTTCACCACTCTAACAACAGAAGGAATAGTAATATTTCTGCGGGGTCAAACATCATATCTCACACATGCTGGAGGGGGTTCACTAATGTTATCCGGTGGAAATTAGCCATTGATTTTACAGAAGCACTCCGTATCGATCGCTGATTAAACGGATGGCGGGGATGGACGGTTTTAAATCAAAAAGCAAATCAGCTCATCAAGATGCCAATGAGAGCCTCTTTATCTCCTGTGTACATGTCGTTAATACGTCACACTGCTGCAGGTTAAAACACCGCCTTTATCTTTAGATTCCACAACGCACGTTAACTTTTATTAGATTGCTCTGCTGGGAACATTTTCAAACCCAAAACTCACCTCCACATTATTAAGAACACCTGTTCACATCAACATCTAATCAGCTAACAGCGTTTATTCATCTATAAGAGCTGCTGAAGCTGCTGAGCATCAGAATGGAGAAGAAATGAGAGAAGGCATGGCTGTTGTTGGTACCAGACTGGGCTGATCCACTGGGATTTGAACCCACAACCATCTTCTAAGGCCTGACAAACAGAAAGCATCCAGTGAGCAGCAGCTGTGTGGATGAAAATGTCTGGTTGAGGCCAGAGGAGACTGGTCAGACTGAAGAAGAAGAAGAAAATATCATTTCTATAGCTCCTCTCAAAATAGAAATCACGAGGTGCTTCACAAAAACAAAAAATGTAAAAATATAAAAAATTTAGAAAATGGTTAAAATATATTTAAAATGAACAAAGAATTGGCAATTGTGATTAAAATAAATAAATGGTTTTGGATAATAGAAAAACAAATCCCTAAAACATATTTTACTATAAATACTTAAACAAATCTATAAACTCCAACTTATTAATCTATAAACTCTAATTTATTAATCTTACTACGACATTTATGACCTACTGTACTAAAGCTCAAATGAAAACAAACATGAGCAGTAAGGGTGAATAATAAATCCAGACCTTTAACTCCAGCTGCTCTTTGGTCTGCTGGTAGTTAGCTCTCTCGTTGTTGATCCTCTCGTTGCTTCTCGCGATAGCTGCTTTGACTGAAGTCAAGGCAAAGTGGTTAATAACTTTTTACAAAAAGAACCAAACTGTGATGACAATTAACAGTAGCTAACATTAGCCCTGAGAGATAGGCTAACGGGCTGAAATCCTACCATCTTTCAATTTCTGCGCCCGCTCGCTCAGATGATGTTCACTTAGAAGAATTTGTCGATAAAGTGAGTCTAAACTCATGTTCACTCAGTGAATAAGTCACCAAGAACATCAAACAACTCCTTTACCACGAGTTTTTAAATCACGATAGCTAACTAGAGCTAAGAGACGTTATTTAGTGATGCTAGTAGACGAAGCTAAGCTAATCTCCGCCTCTATAGCAAAATTGTGGCAAGCAGGATTATCATATAATCGGTAGAATCTGACTATTTGGATTGTTCATGTGGATATTTTTAGACAGAAGGAACAATGAAACTTCCAGGCTTAAGTCACAAACAACATTTAACTAGAAGAATGGATCACTTTCTACATGTATTTGAGTGTCATTTCTAGACTTTTTATGGAAGGAAATTTACAAATTTCTTCTGAAAAAAAAATACACGCACAGCAGGGAATGTGTTCTCAATCTGATTTCTACATGTCATGTGTTACATCCTATACAACCATGAAGTATAACTTTACCGAAATATTTAGTTTTCATATAGTAAAAACAAAATGAATAACAATTCTTGTTAAAATTGAATATTTGTCTGGTATTCACATAATGACTTGTTGATTCAAACTTAGACATAACTTATCCTTAGAAAGTTTTCAGCTTACAACACTTTATAAGAAACATAAAAAGTACAAGCTATTATAAAAATACATAGGGCACACTCAAAATAACTATTGTGAGACAAAAAAGGGAAAAAGCATAAATGATGTAAATTTTAGAAATGCATTGAAAACAATTTGCTAACACTGAAAAACTACTACTAGTACTACTGCTGCTGCTACTGAAATATGCATAATTAAATCGTTATTAACATCACATTGAAAATAAACGCATCATGTGTTTCCTTGTTTAGAATTAAAAGATTATGAATATACTTGTTTAAACCTGTGTTTCTTCACATTATATTTTGTACATAAATTAGTCAATTTGTTGCAGATTTAGGTACCATGAACCTTCTTGTTTAGGTCTGAAATTGTAGATATTAGATGAAAGCCTCTGAGTAAGTATAAATGATCTTTTGACAAGGAGAAACTGAATATCTGCAACATACATATTTATTGTTTTATAACTACTTAAACCTTTAAGAACTTTTTAAAGATTATGAAATGTCTCATTTTGGAGACTAAATGGAAGCCCATTGATGCCACTCTGGTGAAATAAATAGTATTTGGTTATTATGACTTGGTTATCTCTTATGAATAAGGATGCATCTCATAATTATGGTAAATGGCCTGTATTTGATATAGCGCCTTCTAGAGTCCTGGAACCCCCCAAGGCGCTTTACAACACAATCAGTCCTTCACCCATTCACACACACATTCACACACTGGTGGGGCTGAGCTACAATGTAGCCACAGCTGCCCTGGGGCGCACTGACAGAGGCGAGGCTGCCGAGCACTGGCGCCACCAGTCCCTCCGACCACCACCAGCAGGCAACGTGGGTTAAGTGTCTTGCCCACGGAAACAACGACAGCGACAGACTGAGCAGGGCTCGAACCTGCAACCTTCCGATTACGGGACGAGCACTTAACTCCTGTGCCACCATCGCCCCGTGCCAATTTTCTTTTATCACAGTGGCAGAAATCGGCTCCCGTACAATTGGAGTTGTGGAGGCCGTGCACTTTTCTTTTTTTCGACCGGCAGGAAAAATGCAAAGTCATGTGTAAAAAGTGGCAGATGAGAATAATGTATAAAGAAATGCTATGACTTATCGTAAGAGGGTGTTTTAGCGTCTGCAATTAGGAAACACAAACGTGGACAAGACTCGGATGAACAAATGAAATATTTTCACATTTATTACTTTCACCTTGCTATATCTGCTTAGTCACAGAATTTGTAGTTGGCACAATCCCCCCCCCCCCCCCCCCACCCACCCACACACACACACACACACACACACACACACACACACTGGGATGGAGAGAGCTTCTGATCCGGTGCCATGAAGAACATTACTGCACGAGATGTCAAAAGACCCGAGGACTACATCATCCTGACATTCATTTGCAAAATTAATATCACATATTGATTGAGGCTTGTCATAAATCACCAGCCTTCCGCTGACTGCAGAGGCTCCCCTTGGAGACTTTAGAACAGCAGACTCATCAGATCGGAGCCAGACTATTATCCCACAAAGAGCAGGAGTCTGTCGCTCACTCGTTCACTCAAGTTCTCTGTGAAAATACAACAGCTGACTAAAAGTATTTTTAAATGACTGAGTGAAGGGTGAAGGAATGATTGGTTTGTATCTAATGTGTCTTTTCATTGAATCTGACATTCAAGCAGGCCATTTTCATCCCATCCCTGAATACATCCTGCTCTTTCAGCCCTCCTGTGTGTGTGGGAACTGATTTATCGTGCTGGGCACCAGCATTCATGATTGATTGGGTCCAGTGTTTAATGCAGAGAGGCTCATTGACAGGTCCCTTGAAGTGGATTAGCTTCTGAATAGGCTTTATGCGCGATCAATGGGCTGAAAGTCCATGATGCATCGTCCCTGTGGTTATATAATATTAGACTTCAAGTTACTGATCAAAATGTTCAAATGGAGTCAGAATTAGATTTGAAAATATCAAACATGGTTTTATTATTCCTTCCAACTGATTTTACTCTGCAAACCACCAGTAGGGGGAGACAGACTCACAGTGTCTGATGAGAACAGGTCTCGCTTTCTCTCACTGTAGCTGATCACATTTCTCCTAAACGGACCTCTATAACTTTGCTTTTTGTGGATTCAGATTAAGAGTCTTTAAAAGCAGTTGTTCACCAGCCATACCAGGTTTCATTAATGAAAAGGCTCAGCAGCTGTTCAGGCAACACACATGGCCCATAAAGGTCCCTCCACATGTTGCTATATTAATCGTGTCATAAAAAGGCTCTGGGGTCATGCACTTTGACCTCTCCACGCAGCCCACAGGCATTACATTATTTCACTCTCTGTGATTTAAACGTTGTGGCTTGAATCCAGTTAGATCAGAACAATGTTGCTCTTACTAACCACCAATAAAATGATGGCGGTGATGGTTCTGCACATGTGCGTTAGCAATCAAATTACTGCTGTGGACGTTTTGATGAAACAGACATTAAAAACACACAACTGGCCATAACTCAATCAGTGTGACAGATACTGAATTAAAAATTATTTCAGATTTATTAAAAGTCGTTCACATTATTAATAAGTGCCAAGTGATGGCCCAAGACCTTTGCTCCAAACCAGTAGAAAGCCTTCTTATTTGGGCAAATATAGCTGAGTGACCTTGAAAAACATCAACGCGGCTAAAACTCTGCCAGTTTTACAGATAAAATTGGTAGTTGGCAGTCATCCCATTACATCTTCTGACTGCTAATGGTCCTTGTGAGGTCTTTGCTGAAAACTTTTGGCAATAACTGTTGGAATTAACCCCTTAAAATCCCAGGTCCCATGAACACAGTGTGTCATGTGCCATGGGTGGGATGCTGGAATTAATTCAGGATGGCCACCACGCCTGATCGACATTTCAAAACTGGTGCCAACGCCATCAAATTCACAGATATCGAGTCATAATTCCATGTGGTAACAACAGAGAACAATCACCAACAAAAAAGCTGAGTGATGATTGAGATACCTTAGTTTGTTGCTAAATGACAAAGAAGAGGGTGTTAACTCTGTTAGATTTGTGGATACAGTCGCTTTCACAACATGAACTCCTGAGTACTGAGTGATATCTGCCATGGGTAGTAACATGTTAGCTAGCATGAAAATGACAAATATGAAGCTACATTTTAGCTTAGTCAAGAGTGATAAGCAGCACATACAGATGAAACTTGAAAATTAAATATCATGCAAAAGCTTGTTTATTTCAGTAATTCAACTTTTAAAAGGGGAAAGTAATATGAGATAGACTCATTACGTGTGAAACAAGATTATTTAATCCTTTATTTGTTATAATTATGATGACTAGGTTTACAGCAGCCATCTCAGGCAAGTAGAATAACATTCTAGACTCAAAGTGTCTAGTCTTCTATCAGCTAATGAATCCAAAACAGCTGGCTCCTGAGCCTTTAGATGGTCTCTCAGTCTAAGGTAAATTACTGAAATCAATGGACTTTTGCACCATATTCCAGTTTTTTGAGTTTCACCTGTACTCTGAATGCTACAAGGATTAACAAGATTTGACCAGCTTAATAATTTCTTGACATAAAATGGTGGCCCAGAAGGTTCAACGAAATACAAAAGTGCTAGCAGAAGTAATAATAAAAACTTCACTGAAAAATGCTCAAATAATGTAGCATTCATTCTTAAATAAAGTATCTTATTTGCTTTTGTTTTGATGTAATTAAGGTTTTAGCATTAGCAGGGCTCTGATTACACACATTTCTCAGCCTCCCGTGGATCAGTCAGTTTGAGGGCTTTAGAGGAGCCCATCACCCTTTCGGGAAAGCCGTTCTCACCTGTTATTTGAACCTTGAGCACAGGCTAACTTCTGCTTCAATCCACAAAACACTTTGAGAGTATTTATTGTATCTGTACCTCTTCTAAGGCAATGTTCAGGAATAGTTAGCTAAATGAGAATGATGTAGCCAATATAAAGGTTTGGGGCAAGGCCCTGGGGGGGGGGGGGGGGGGGGGGGGATGGGGTGCCCCCATGTAGTTCCGGCCCTGGTTCCTGTTGACTACAATTTTAATGTAAGGCTATTTTAGTTTAGTGCTTTATTTATTTGAGTGCTTTCAGTTTTGCTCGTATTGTGGCTTTTGTATCTCTTTGTACCTTTTGGGCCACCGTACAACGATTTTAGGTGATAAGAAAAACTTTCACAGCTGCAGATGAAATAAAGTTCATATCTCATGCTGGACGGTTTAGTGATTGATGAACTTCCTGCAGTTAGAGATATGTGTGCCCTCCTCGCGCTGCTGGAGTGAGGTGGGGGAAGCTGCTGACTGCGCTGCGGAGGCTCAGCTGCGGGACTCCAGTTGCGCTCTGAGGCACAAAGGCAGCAGCAGCATCCCACGGACAGACTAGCTGGACCACCGCTGCTCCTCACCCCCTCTCTGTGGTGTCCCGGGTGCTGAGGCGGATGACCACCCGCACGGTGGACAAGCGACTCAGGACGCGCTGGTTTGAAGTGAACGAAACTGAGCAGAAGACTGACTGGACACTTTCATTTGAGGGTTTGAGCGGATTTCTGTTCGCATGAGTCGGACTGGATCTGTACTCTTCAGCGGAACTCGCTGCTTCTACTCAATGGAGTTTTCTACAGTGGGAATATCGTAGGAATTAAACTTCTAAGTCGCATTTTGTTCCCAAAATTCCTCTCTGACTAGAGGTTTGCTTTCACGCGCACAACAAAACGATGATCCTCGCTGCGCTCTACGTCCTTCTGCCTCTTTTAGGTAAGTTAAACTTGACTGGCACCAGGAAATATGACACCTTAAAAGAAAAAACGAAGCTTTTATTCGATCTTATAGAATAAAAAGGCTGATTTTACGCACGGCACTGCGCAGGGGTCCAAAACAACAGAAAAAGTCCACCAGGAACCTTTTTACTGAACTTCCAGTAGAATCAAATAGATGAAACTGCTTTCGTGTAATGTTTGTTACAACCTAAATCTGTTCTGGTGTTTTAACCCCTAAAATCAGCTTTCAGAAGTCTATAAGCTCCCGTTTACCACCCAAAAAGTGATGGAATCCTAACAGAAAACGTTCGAGATGCTGATGTTTGTGCGTAAACTCTGCCTCCAGATGCGCTGTGTAGCGCGGAGGAGAAGCAGCGCACCGGGGCCACCCGGCTGGACTGTGTCAGGGCCAGTGAGCAGTGTCTGCGGGAGCAGGCGTGCAGCACCAAGTATCGCACCATGAGGCAGTGCGTGGCCGGCGGGAAAGAGAGCAACTTCAGCATCGTGGCCGGCCTGGAAGCCAAGGACGAGTGCCGGAGCGCGATGGAGGCGCTGAAGCAGAGCCCGCTGTACAACTGCAGGTGTAAACGGGGCATGAAGAAGGAGAAGAACTGCCTGCGCATCTACTGGGGGATCTACCAGACTTTACAAGGTGTGGTGATGACACGTTCACTCGCCCTCCCCTTTGGGGAGCCCATGGGTTTGCCTCCCCAGGGGTCTTTTGTTTGCTGCACTTAGAGAACTCTCCTGGCTGCAGAGGGGACATATTAATCTGCAGATTAGTCTCCCCAGCTTAGTGAAAGGGCCCATTAGCCTCATACCCCACCAGTCCCAGCTCTATTTAAGGGGCTCGCTCACTGCAAGGACAGAAACATGATCCATTTGTCTGATTTTAAATGTGCATCTGTTAGTGTGCTTGAGTTCAAACCCACAGCTCAGCATGTTTGACTTTTAGTTGTTCTTCATACATTGGGCTCTCCCTCAGAGTCAAGAGTCGTCAGATACAACATGTGTACAACTGACATGGGTTCATTATATTTTTGTTGAGGTCACACCATCCACAAGGTTCTCCCACCGGCCACTTTTCTCAAGTTTCTCAGAAGCCCTCCAGAGGTTGATGAGATGTTTTTCTAAGTGAAACTGATGAGATGATGGAGTGGAGGTCCTGCTTGACCTCCTGAGTCCCTTACAGCTAATGAAGCATGCTGCCTCCCAGCACTGTAGCAGTGTGTGTGTGTGTGTGTGTGCGTGTGTGTGTGTGTGTGTGTGTGTGTGTGTGTGTGTGTGTGTGTGTGTGTGGTTAAAGCCCTGAAATTACGCTCCTCCATTTGCAGCTGACCAACCTGTCTAATCAAGCGTGCGGCTTAGTGCCAGCCTGACCCAGATAACCCCGTCACATGCAGGCCAGTCAGGCCCCAGGAGATGATAAACAAATGGGGGGGGGGGGGGGGGGGGGGGGGTTAAACAGTCCAGCTCTGCTGTAATTCTCGTCTCTGTCCCAGGTAACGACTTCCTGGAGGACTCTCCGTACGAAGCGGTGAACAGCCGACTGTCGGACATCTTCCGCCTGGCTCCCATCATCGGTAAGAATGAGAGGACTCAGAATCCTCTCGCCCGGCTCTATTTCTCCTCTCTCTCCTCTTGTTCTCACCCTGCATGTGAGCTGGAAGCCACCTTCCACAGGAGCTATAGTTCTGAGGCCTACATGTGCAGATCTGTTGTGTTTGTGGGATGTTTTCTGTGCTGAGCAGATGATCTCAGAGCATGACCAGCATTTTTCTGAGTGTGGAGGACACGTGAGCCTCTAGATGGCGATGTTCCCTTCTTTACAGCCGTTCAGACTCAACAGTGACAGCAGCTGTGCTGCTGCTGCTCAGATGTTTATCCTGCACAGCAGGTGACGAAGGCCCCATCAAACCCGATATCAGGCCTCCTCATCTGTGGATAACCACGTTTCTGCCGTTGGGATGGACTTTTAGTTTCCTTTGCTTTTGCATGTGAAGACACTTACAAGAGTTCAGATTCAAGCTGCTTGTGTGAGGACGGCTTTGCTGTTGTGTAAGGTCCAACTGTGACATCGCGATCAGGTCAGAGGTCAGGACCACATGATGATCATTAAACACGTTTAAAACCAGAAGAAACGACTCTGGTTCCTCCAAAGCTTCAGACATGAAAGCATGATGTGAACTGGAGTTTTAGAAGAAATAAAAAAATGATTACCTTAGTGAAGAAAGCAGCATTAATCTGTTTCCTTCTGTCTGAATGTGCTATTGTTCACATCAGCCTTTTCTGCTTTGCTAATATCATCATCATCATCATTATTACTACCCATAATTTAGGCAGAAATCAGCTTTTAAGTGATCAAATTTAATTTGTTGTTTTCTGATTTAAACAGTAGACATTACGCTGCCTCTGGTTCTGTTCCTGCTGGTTCCAGTCTTTCGCTGACTCTAAGAACTATGAATGCCACAATTCCATTTTATTCTGATTTCTGATCAACTTGAAGGTTTTGTGTCTAAAAGTAAAACCTTCCACATGGAAGAGTGAGTGAACTCTTGTCTTCACAGGCCAGGATAGTTTATTTCAGTGTTTGGAGAGGCTGCATTCACAAACTGTTCAAAAAAAGATGTTTGGGTTTCCAGTTAGGCCAGTCATTCTGATTACTCCGGTCCAGGTCTATAAATAAACAAGTTAAAACATAGCATTGCATGCTGTTTTTTATAGTGTGCAGAAACTTTCAGAAGAAGTTCAGCATCTAATAAATGAAACAAGCTGTTTCTAAGCTGCAGGATGCACCATCACGTGTGTGTCCAAAGCGTGGTCTCCAGTTACGATTCTAGAGGAGTGTAACTATAGCTGTTTTTACAGGACAGTAGCGTTTGCAAAACGGGATTTGCCGCGTAAAGGTTGTTTATAAGATCAGACCGTGGCAGTAATGTGGCGTAATCATGGCAATTTTATAAAACATTAGGTGATGGCGGCATAAAGGGGGTAGGGGGGCTGTCTCTGCGCTGCCGCAGATTTCCGTTTATCTTGGACATAACTTGCTTTTTATTGCGAATGAAACCGTGATCGTTAAGTTTTTTTTAACAAGCAGCTCCTAAAGGTGTCTGTCACCATCAGTCCCTGTGCAGTCTCTGGTGATCTGAGCTTCAGCTCCAACAGAGAGGCTCATGGAGCGCTGCTTTGCTCCAGTTTGGCATCTCAGCTGATTTTGTTCAAAAAGCAAACCTTATTGCCCGTGTTTACTTTCATTTTCAACAAACTTGCCAGCCGGTGCTCAGCAATAACTCTCCACGTCATCATGACATCTGCCTCTGTTGCGCCAGGGTGCATACGACAGACCATTACCGCAAGATTACTACCAAGCGAGGCGGAACGAATGCCGCAAAATTCGTGCAACTCCATGCCGGCATGGCGCGTTAATAGACATACCATTGCGGTAATATTACGCCGATTTGCTGGCATGGTGTGTCTTGTAAAAAGAGCTTATGTCATTCCAGTAGGCTGCAGATCTAGACCAACATATTTTATTTTCAGGTTTAAGGCTTTTTTAGGGTTTTGTGTGTTTTTTTTCACATTACTAATTACAAGCCTATTTTTGAGGAGTTAAAAAAATCACCAGTAAAAAACTTGTAGCGGTTTTCTAATCAAAGAAAAGCCAACCCACATTTTTGTGGCCTGCATGGACATTTAATGCAACGTTATTGGCCCTTGTTTTAAAAAGTTTGGACAGCCTTGACCTAGTGGGTTAAAGTGTCCTTTAAAAGTTCACTATTAACTCATTCACTGCCAGACGTCTCCTGATCGGTAAAGCCCTTCCCTGCCAGCGTTTCTCACCATTTTTACAGTTTTTTTTAAGAGTCACAGAACATTGCGCACTAGGATGATGTTGACGCCAAAACTACCAAAACAAAGCGGAGACTCACCTCTTACATCAGGAAGAATCTGCGTGTTTCGAGCTTTATCCATTCTTTCATAACTCGTTGTTGAATTGTGATCGTCAGAAGCTTTTCCGGTTCGCGCCTCACTTTTTTTTTACAGCAGCGGCCCAAAACGATCTCCTAACACATGGATTTTCTGCTTCCTGATCACGTGACATGTGACGCATGCGGATGAAGATCGGCTTTAGAGCTGGGAAGTTTGTTCTCATGGTGCGGGGGCTCGTTCCAACCCCACACAGTAAAAAAAAATGCAAATGAAGATTTTAATCGTCAATGGCAGTGAATGAGTTAATGATCAGGATGATACACCAAAGTGCTCAACAGTAAACAAAACCACATTAGAACAGCATTGTGAAGGGACTGCACTAAAACCAAGGGGCAAGCTCGACCGGCCAGAAGTGAAGCCAACCAGAAAGTGATGAAAATTGCAGTTCCACCCTCATCCACTAGGGGCTGAATCCAAAAACAGAGAAAATCCCATGTTAAAAAAAGACAATTTCACAGCAGAAATAAACATGTTTACAGCCTAGTTCAAAAAACCATTTCAGGTTTAATAGATCTAGTTCACATTCATGACAACTCAGGGGGTGAATTTTTTGTAACCCTTCTGTTTATGGGTAATTAAATGCTTGAAAGTATGAATAATTAGATTTGGTTACCAGGCAGCATGAGCGTCAGAGCTAGCATTAGCGGCTAGCTCCGGGGAAGGCCTCGGTTAATCGATGTTCGGCCGGTTTGACTCTCTGAACTTCAGCTGTGTCCTCCGTGTGTTTGTGTTTGGATGTTAATCATGGAATTATTTGGACAAACAAGGCAAGCTGTGGTTACTGACCGCACTAAAGATCATCCAAGCAGTTTCTACTTCATTTTTTTCAGTAAGTAAAATTCTATTTCTTTCCTTTATTTTGCTGGTTGAATGGGGGAAATTCTTGTGCATGTATTATTACGCTGCTTGGTCAGAATGGGTGTCAGTATGATGCGTTGGTAGGGTTGAGCATAGAAAATCGTGGCCAAAGCCCCAAAGCAGCAGCAGCCCCGCTGATCTCTGACAGCTGCGAAAAAGCAGAGTGTGGTTCCACGCGGCTTGGCCGCCTAGCTTCGCCACCTCACCCCAGCCATCCGACCGCTGTAGAGGAGCGGAGCATGGGCTCATGCGTCCCAGGCGTGTGGCTCTGATCACTGTGGTTTGAGGCTGTGCTTGTATTTTAACGGTCAGCGGTTAGGTCCTAGCTCCGTGTTTGCTTTGGGTTAGCTCCTGGTTTGCTCAGTTAGCTCAGGTTCATACAGTATGTTAGCATACAGTGGGTAAAACGTTAGCTAGCTTAGCATTAGCTGTAAAGCAGCAAACATAGAGCCAGCTCGACTTATGTCAAGAGTAGGCAATCCTGGTCCTGGATTGCCACTATTTAGCATAGTTTAGTCTCTTCCCTGCTCCAACACACCTGATTTAAATCAGTAGCTGACTAACGGGCTTCTATCAGCTCAGTGGCCTAGTGGTAGAGCGTCTGCCCTGGAACTGGGACATTGGGGTTCAAATCCTGGTCAGGTCATAGGGCTGGGCGATATGGCCAAAAATCGATATCACGATATATTGAGGATTTAACCTCGATAACGATAAATGGACGATAACTACAGGTATGCGCAGAAACAAAAGTTGTCCACTAGATGGGGCTGTCACATGTATCACGTTGAGTCACATTTTTACGTGACTCAAGGTGGTACAGCTTCTTAAAGGGACATGAATGTTGCCAACCTACACACATCTTTTCATTTTTTTTATTATCAGTTTTATTTACATGGGAAAAATGATCACGATAAGAGTCAGAAATTTTGATAACAATAAATTTTCGATTTATTGCCCAGCCCTAATGGGGACCCATGTCTCCCTGCTTGACACTCAGCCTTGAAGGGTTGGACTGGGGGTGGGGGGGTTAAACCACCAAATAGTTCCCGAGCGCGGCCGTGTTTGCAGCTCACCTCTCAGGACGGGTAAATCAACCAATCAGTTAGGTGTGCTGAAGCTAAAAGATGCTGGATAGCAGCACTCCAGGACCCCTCCCCATCACACTTCTACACAGACTTGGTCTGGTCCTACAAGAAAGTGTGTACCGGGTGCTCCAGAGGGCCTCTTTTCACCAGATTCTGTCTTCTCTTATATCTGCTTGTACCTGAACGACGGAGACGCTCCAGCTGCAACGTGAGCAGCATCTCTGCAGCTTTATCAGAAACAAACAACGCTATGAGTTTATGAAGCCGGGAACAGACAGAACGTTCCTGTAGTGACTACACACTCTTAATATGTGACACCCTCCTTACTCTAATTTCACATTTAAGAAGCTGCAACAATATCCGGCTTTGGGATTTTGTTAAAATGTGAGATTGGACTGATTTCCTATATTGTTCGGCTGCTTTCAAGACCCACTGGTGATCAGAAAGTGTGTTTGTATGAATCTGTGTGGACTGTTTCTTCTTCAGCAGAGCTCACGATGGACGTGGCACTTACAAATGGGGGGGGTAGGGGGGGGGGTGTATAGTTACCAGGAAGGAGTTGTGTCTGGTCATTAGGGAGTTAGAGAGGGAGAGCAGCGGATGGAGGGGTAGGATGTGGTGGCTGCAGGGGTCAGAGGGTAATCAGTGGA